GAATAGATGATTTTTTTTCATTAAAATCATTAAAAATTTCATCCAAATCAATATCATCAAAATTATCATCATTATTATTATTGATCATTTTTAGAAAAACAAAAACTAAAAAAAAAAAAAATTAGAAATTCATGATGTCGAATAAAAATATTCTTATTTCATACGTTGAAAACTATTGAACTAACATATAAATTAAATTCAATATTTCAAACAAACGTTTACTTATTGAAGGATATGTATATACGAATTAAATACATATCGATCAAAGGTCCAAGCAGGCCCACTTTTTAAAGGTCTGACCTGCCTGTGACAGGCCTACAGATATTTAGCCTGCCTGCGCCTGCCATAAAATTTCTTCGGCCTGGCCTGCCTGTCTAGGCCTGTCTACTTTTCTTTGGGTTTAATATCATGATAATAATAAAATATATTCAACTGTTAATCTTTATAGGAAGTTCAACATGTCAGTTGAATGACTTTAGATGATCCAAATGGAAATTCTCTAATGTGAACATCAAAGAAAATAATTAAAAGTGCTTAATATATAGAAGTATTCTTTTCTTGCGTTTCCATTATATCACGTGAGGTTAAGATCAGGAAAAATGTTAACTTCAGAAAGTTTATTATAGCAAAAGGTATTTATGTTTCACGAAAAGAAGACTTCAACCCAAAAGTAATCGATTTTGAAGAGAAACGCTCAGCATGAGTCTGGGTTGTTCTCTATAATGAGATGCTATTGTTGTTGGGATGTCGAAAGTGTAAGGTTTTACCCGGCATTTAATATATGTACATTGCAAAGTGTCAGTATGGTGAAAAATAAAAGAATAGAAAGGCATTTCTCTTGACGAAAACAATCAGTTTTTTGTTGCAAAGAATTTTATAAAAATCCAAAAGATAAAATGTCCCTCCTATTAATACATGCAAGAGAATTCGTATGCAACGATAACGAAAACTGAAGCAGAAAAGGATGGTTCAGCATCAACTGAGCTAGCTAGGGTTCAAAATGAATGGAAAAAAAATAATGAAAAATATCGAGGAGCGGTCCATACTTGATAAGATGATTAAACAAATACAATCCGAATAAGAACATAATCAACACAAACAAGATCATGCTCAGGTTTTTATTGATATTTATACGCATTCCTATATTAGTAGAGTTCATTTTATTTTTTAAATTAATTTAATTATTGTTTACATCTATTTATCATTGAACTTTTTTTTTCTGAATAGTACATTGAACAGGGCTGGCCCGATAGGGGGTTTTGGGGATTGTGACAACCTCCCCCCAATAATCGAGAATTTTGGTTTTCACCCAGCAAAAATGAATTTTTTTTCGCGAGTAGTGTTAGAAAAAAGTTTTATTCGCATTAAAAATATCCGAAACAACCTCCCAAAAAATCGCGACAATCCCCCAATGTTTGCTGACTCGGGCCAGCCCTGGCATTGAAAAAGTAGAGATGCAAACAGATTATTCTTATCGTTTCAAAATCTACACTATAATTGTCTCTATTTGCTTAAATAAAAGAGTTAACATAGTTTATCTTTAATTAAGTAGAAATAATAATAAAAAAAAATAATCTATTGATTGATATTCAATAAGATTTATTGAAACAAGATAGGGGCTTGTCTTCTGCAAGGAAACCATTGAATCAGTGTTTTATCCAGGAATTTTAGGTATGTTGGATCTCAGCTTCGGAGCATGGGACCTAGATGAAACTTATCTAGGGTCATATTGGAGCTAAATCATGAGATTTTATGAAAAAACTTTTGTTATTGGAGTTTGCGAAAAAAAAAATACTTTTTTTGCTTGCCCTCCTCTCCCCCGGGAAATATTTTAAACCTTTTAGAATTTCATAGTAAGCTACGTCAAATTTCATCGAAAAATAAGCATCCGTTCAGGAGTTATAACGTTTTGAAAGTTTTTCAAATGTTGCAAAAGTTTTAGCGAAGTCTCAAAACGTTATAACTCCTGAATGGATTCTTATTTTTCGATGAAATTTGAAGTCTGTCAATGAAATTCCATGTAGCTTACTATGAAATTCTAAAAGCTGGAATACTACAAAAGGTTCAAAAAAATTTCCCCGGGGGGAGGGGGGGCAAGCAAAAAAGTCTTTTTTTTTTGCAAACTCCAATCGCAAAATTTTTTTCATAAAACCTCATCATTTACCTCCAATATGACCCTCCATAAGTTTCATCTAGGTCCCATGCTCCGAAGCTGAGATCTAACACACCGAGAAATCCTGGATAAAACACTGCACTGAATAATGTAGTTGATCAGAATTGAAAAAAAAACAAAACCGTAATTTTGACAGTGATCTATCATCTTTAATCAAAACCTATAGAAGTTACTTTTATTTCGAAATCAGTTCGTTTTTTTTTATTGAAGAACAACTTTGATGATTGATCAAATTGATAGTTTAACTAATTTAAATGAAAATGTGATCGTCTTCTACGAGAAGAAGTTTTTTGTTTCAAATCGAAGCAAAAGAAAAGTTTTCGAAACTGATAAGTTGATTATATTTCGAAATTATATTTATCGAAGAAAATCTTCGATAAAATATTTATTTTTATTTTAATATTTGTTTTTTAGGTGCATACTTATGTAACTCTTTATGTAAAAGATGTGTCTGTAACTCGATTTGGTAAGAAATTTTCTTTTTTTTTAATTAAAACTATGTTACTGTTTTTTGTTTTTCAATAAAAAAGAACCTGGTTATCATTTAACTGTAACAGGTCTTTTACCACATGAACAATGTTCATCAGTATTCAACATTGTTTTAAATCGTACAAATGATAGTAAAATAGTTCTTAAATCAAAAGAACGTCTTATATTTCATGTTGGTTTTCGTCGTTTTGCATGTTCACCCATTTATTCTCAACATTCAAATGGAAATAAACATAAAGTTTGTTGTCATTCATTTAAATAAGAATAAGAATAAGAAAAAGAATATTTTGAAATTAGTTTGAAAGATTTTTTCGTCCTCGACAAACTCTTGTTGCAACATGTTTTGGTCCAATAACATATTCACCTACATCAGTTTTAGCATTTAAACAATATCCGGATGGTATTCTTATTTGTTAAATAAATTATTTTATTTAGTTCTATTTATTTATTAAACTAAAGGTCATCAAGAATTAGTAGCAACTGATTCTCTTCTATCAGTTAATCCTGATCGTATTATATTAAAAAGAATAGTATTAAGTGGACATCCATTTAAAATTCATAAAAGATCAGCTGTTATTCGATATATGTTTTTTAATCCTGGTTTGTTTACTTTTCTTTTTTTTTCTAAAATTTTGTATTATTTATTATTTATAATAGAGGATGTTAATTGGTTTAAACCAATTGAATTACGTACACGATGGGGTCGACGAGGGCATATTAAAGAATCACTTGGTTTGTTATTTATTCTTATTTATTAATTAAATATAAAGATAAAATTTATTTTAATATAAAGGTACACATGGTCATATGAACACAGAACCACATAAAAGTCTATGGACTTCCTTTTTAAAACCATTGTAATTGATATCTAGATCTGTGCCAGATTTACGAACTTATCTGAGTTTCACATGGACTTTTATTTTTATGGTATCTTTTTACCGAAAAATAGAAAGAAATAATTGAACATGTTTACATATTAGACAATGTAAAAAAAAGAGGATTCTTTATCTCACAAATTGATGAAAAAAGTTCTTACTTATCAAGTTTATTTTTAATCAAAAGTAGCAGAACTTTTGAGTTATGATCTTTTTGAATTACTCCAACATTAACCATATGTACAGAAGACATTCTCAATTTAATTATTATTCACAAAATCATATTAGAAATATTAATTAATGGTTGAGACAAAAGTTATCAATTTATCAGATATTCCCCTTCAAAAATAAACTTATAGAATACATTTTTTTTCATAGAAATCATCAGTCTCCTAATAAACCTTTTTTCTTTTGTCAGAGTTGAGATATATAATATGTTATCAATAGATTAATTATAGATAAATTTAATTGTATAACTAAAGTACGATAGGATGACAACAGACAACAGCCTTTCTTAGCATTAAATCTTCAATATCCTATTGACTCTGAAATATAAAATCAAAATTACAATAAGAGTCTAAACTAAAAACAATCGTTATTTTAATATTTAATTATCATCAAACATCTTTTAGAAGTAAAATTCCAATCGAGCAAGAGTGTTTATCTCGAATTTTTCTATTTAGTCCTCAATTAGAGAATACTGATATGAGTATCTTTAATTGTTCATCCAATTGTTATTATACTATAAAAAAAAACAAATATTTAAGAATGAAAATCTTTAAATATAATTTATATGCCTTCTGTTAGTATTCAACATGTTCAATGTCGTAGATACTATAAGATATGGGAAACAAATGATGATAGACACAAATTCATTTTCTTTTTAGATTAATTATGAAAATATAAATAAATATATTTCAAATGATTTGTGCCATTCATCTTCTGAATATATATTTTAATATTTATCAAAAAGTTCACTTTAATTCTTAATTGACTATTACAAATTGAACTTTTTTAGGATAGAAAAAATGAAATAAATTGTTGATGTTTACTGTTTTCTCATTTATTGTTATTCATCGAGATGGAAAATGAATAAATGATTTAAAACGAGATAAAACACACAAAAAACAGCGGTATTTGATAAATGTAAACAAATAATTTGTGTGTTGTAAATATGTTTGATGTTTTTATAAACGACGACCACCTTTTCGTCGTGTACTATCTAATGTATTGGTGTTACATCCTCTATAATAAATTTATTTATTTTATAATAATAATATTAAAATAAAATAGACGAACCAATTCTTCCAATTTTGAGTCCCGATCGTGCAAGAGCACGAAGAGCTGATTGAGCACCAGGTCCAGCTGTTTTTGTTTTATTTCCACCAGTTGCACGAAGTCGTACATGTAAGGCAGTTATACCTAATCACGACAACGTTCAGCAACATATTGTGCAGCTAACATAGCAGCATATGGTGATGCTTCATCACGATCAGCTTTTACTTTCATTCCACCAGTTACACGAGCTATTGTTTCTCTAACATATATAAATATATATATATATTAATTTAAGAAATAAAAGAAAAACAAAACGTCTTACTTTTCGGAAAGATCAGTGACATGAACAAATGTATCATTAAAACTTGCATAAATATGAGCAACACCAAAATTAAGTTCTCCTTCAGCTAATTGTGGACCTAAACTAACTTGTTCTTGTTTAGCCACTTATTGACCCTTATGTGGACCTGTTTGATTTCTTTTATACGGATGACCCAAAGAAGGAAAAATCATCTAAAATAAATATATCTCTAATTCCTACAGAAAATTTTCTTTGAAAACTATCTGGAAAATTCAATCAAAGCTAACAAAAGAAAAATCTCTTCATACGGTTAAACAAGATTAACCAATTACATACATTTTAATTTATATTCAATACTTCATCCTTATAAAAGTTCTTTAAAAAAATTTATCTCAAATTTTTAAAAATGAATACGAATAAAATTCTCTCTTACAAATTTTTAAGTTTGCTTTTAACTTTTTGACTGGTTAAAGCACTCATCGTTTCTAGTCATTTTGTAGAGGAAAATTAGCTGCATCTTTTGGTATATGAAAGTTATGAACATAATTAAATCATGTATAAGCTTTATTACGAATAAGACAGATATAAAATATGCAGAAAATATCCATAAAAAAAGAGCACCCCTCAAATAGAATACATTACGATACGAAATTTAAGAGAAAGAACTACAGAACCACGTAAAACTCTATGCGCTCTTGTTTTTAAAACTATTGCAATGATAACTGGAACTGTACCAAATCTATGGATTTATCTGACAGTATCCTCTATTTTCGTATTATATTAGTGCAGACAAAAACAAAACTGCACAGTGATAGAAAACTTCATGCACTTTCAGAAAATGTCACTACTTTTTGAAAATATGTTTTTATCGTCCTGATTTAATTAAAATATGGAGCGCAGCTTTTTTTCCTCGTATATATATCGATGGAATGTTGAAATATGATTTAAACCATTCCTTTCAATTAATGCCAAAAATTTTGTTTTTTTCGGATTTTTTAACTATAGAATTCTTGTAACATTCTTTTCATGAGCTTGTGTATAATCATGTTTAAAAATCAAACGAGAAATTTTTCATATCGATTAAAATCTAATCTTTTATTCGTATACTTAAAAGTAAGTAAGTTGGAAACTTGTTTGCTTTTCTGAAATACACTGTTAAAATAAGTATAATAACGATTTAACAACAGAATATCAACTCTGATTTTATTGAATATAGAGAACATACAAGAGAAGAGTTATTAAGTGACAGACGGAAAAGCAACACAACCAAAAATATCAACTAATTAAAGTTACATCACAACTAAGCAGCAACTTTCTGTGCGATTCTCCGCCGCTCTTCGATTTCTCTTTCAGCCATCCTACGACCAAAAAACCAATCCTAAATATTAATAATATATACAATTATGGATTAGACATAACAACTATTTACTTACTTCTAAATCGAGAAAAAGATAAAAACTATTTATATTCCATTTTTTACATATTAATTGAAGTTCATCAGGTCGAGGCTTTTTATTATCTGCATAATCTAATTTTATTTTATTGTATATTTAAATAAAATTATAATTTAACAAATATACTCACATTGATTTAAATATTCAAGTTGTTCATATGTGAGCTTCGCTTCCACTGCTTTTACTTCTAGAGAGGAAATGTACTCATATATATATTTGAGTTTATGAAAAAAAAAATATTCAACTAAACACCACACGGTCTATCTAAGTTCATCATCATAGATTCTCAATGATGTCATTTGTATCCAATTATAAATCAATAATTGCTCAGTTATTTAAAAAAAAAACGTTGTATTTATTCAACTATTATTTCGTCTGTTAGACAAGTCATTTCACCGCTGTCTTTGATGTATTATCTATTAAAACATAAATAGATGATCTGTGATGTGTTATTTAGATAACTACTCATGAAATATTTTATCAACAGAAATGAAGGAACATTGTTTAAATAACTTTAAATTCGACATCTCTACACTAAAATGCTACTATTCGCTAGTAACAAGCTTTCCTCTATCACTGCTCAAATTAGCAAAACTCGTAGATAAGTTAAAAATAAAACTCCATGGTCACTTCTGTGAAGAAACAGTTAATTGAATGATAGCCACAATCAGAGTTTTCTTCGAGATCATTATCGGTAAGAAAATAAATCGTTAATGAATATCAGCCATCAATAAAAAAAACTTCACATATACGGCGAGAAAAAAATAATGATAGTCGGTATTTTAGATATATTCTTACTATAAATGGGTACTTTTAAAATTTGTAATGGCATATTCTGAAAGCCCTTGGATTTTTCTATCATTCTATGTATTTAGGTTATTATTTGTACCTTTATATCATTAAGATAAATCGAGTACAATGAAGGCACCATCATATTCAGATTCCCAAAAAACTTGATTTTGTCACTGTCATCAAAAAGTGTTTTTATAGTTTTTGATCACTATAGAATTGCCTTTTTAAAAAGGCAATCATGTATTCTGATAGCGCTTGAAATTCTCTATCTTCCTATATATTCGTTTACGTTCTTGGACTTAACTATTGTCAAAGTATTTTGAGTACAATGAAAACACCCTCAATCGACAAGTACGAAAAAATTCACATCTTTTCGCTACTTTTTTTCTGGATTTTCTATGTCAAATTTATGGTTGATTGATGAGGGTGTTTGAATATTACTCAAATTATTATTCAACATATAAATATAAGATAAGACGAAAATATGTAAAGTGATAGAGAATTTGATACTCTATCAGAATATATAATTTACTTTTGTACAAACTTATTTCCTTTCTACCTATAGTTTGAAAAAACATACAGCATACCGAATTTTTCTACTTGTCGATTGAGGGTGTTTTCATTGTACTCAAGTTACTTTGACAATAGTTAAGTCCAAGAAAGTAAACAAACATATAGAAAGATAGAGAATTTCAAGCGCTATCAGAATACATGATTGCCTTTTTAAAAAGGTAATTCTATAGTGATGAAAAATTATTAAAACATTTTTTGATGACAGTGACAAAATCAAGTTTTTTGGGAATCTGAACAAGAGGGTGCCTTCATTGTACTCAATTTATCTTAATGATATAAAGGTATAAACTATAATCTAAATACATAGAATGATAGAAAAATCCAAGGGCTTTCAGAATATGCCATTACTTTTTTAAAAGTACCCATATTTATAGCGACAATATACCTAAAATACCGACTATCATTATTTTTTTCCCCGTATATATTAGTTAAATATCAACGAACTTGAACTATAGAGCTATCAACTATTACAGAAATAAAAACTAAAGAAAATCTATTTGTCTATGTTTTGTTTACTTGTCTATATGAATCGAGTATGCAACAAATTTCATTTGGAAAGATTCTATTTGAAAAATATTGATTAATGACTGTTATGATGGATATTGAAACTTTTCAATTAAAGTTTCATAACGAAAAGTCAACTCTAAATCCTATTTACAATAAATTAAACTAATAGCAAAGAAACGTTTTCTTTTTTTTAGATAACTTACCTGAAGCACATTTAGCAAAAAGCCTCCATCTCGAGTAGGAGTCAACCATTTGAAGAATTTCAAACAATAACTAGATTGAACATGTGATAAACAAATGATTTTATATTTTCATTGATAACTCTTCCATGAATTTCTATACGTCGAGCATGAATAGAGAAAGAGACATTATAAAATGCAAACATGCCGAGCATTGTCACGGTAATGTGAACATAGAAGACGCACGTATTCTTTTTCTTTAATATCGATAGTTTAAGAAGAAAAGAAACAAATTGAAAAAGAAAAGAAAGATCGAATAAACGAGTTCATATATTGAAAAGTGTGAAACAAACTAATGTAATCGAAAAGACACTAACTGTAACAGCTGATTTGAATGTTATGGTGTGATTGTGAATAAAGTCGTAGTAAAGATATCGATTTGTACTTGAAATATAAGCATTTTAATTTCAACAGTGGAGAATGCATCACATCCTTCGCTGTCTAGAACTTTTTAAAGATGGCAAAGTGTTTTTAGATGCATGGCTATTTTGTTATCTGAGACTTATAATCTTTCTTTCCTACGATTACTGAATAAAGGAATAATTATATTATATGTGTCGGCCCGTTATATTATTGCGGTGAAAATGAAATTCTGGTTTTTCAATTCAATAATTGCGTTTTGAAAAGTTTTCACGAATCGTTGTATATTTCGTTTCTTTGTGTTGATTTTTCTTTCAATGTAGTCTACTGGCCCACGTGAAAAGGTACGAATTTTTGCACTACATAGAAAGTGAAAAATAGATGAAAAAATGTCGAAAAGAAAGGTTTTTCCTGATTCAGAGGAAAGGAAAAGTTTCTCTTAATCTCCGTCTTTGGTTATGTGCTGAGTTTCACCAAACGGACAATTGTCATACATTTTATCGCGTACTTAAATACTAATATTGACGACATAGCGGAATTGCGGAAACAAAGATAATTCATCGATTTTGTGAATAGAGAAAGTACATTGAAGTAGTATAGATGTTAGGGGACGAACACACTAGAGACAATTCACTTAATTTAAGGTTCAATTAAGTAATGTGATTGGTTAAGTGAGATGAAAATCATCTTTTTGCGATGACTCAATTTTAAATTAACCAATCATATCACTTAAATCAGCCTTAAGTGAAGTCATTTTTCCTAGCGTGTTTGACCCCTTAGATGTAACATAAAACTTTCATGAAATGACACACTTTGATAGGCTATTATGGAATTGTGTATGATCTGTTTCTTTTTTAGCTTAAAATTATCAGACATATTTTTTATTATTTCTTCTTTTTTGAAATGTATTACATGTTTTAGTTCTGTTTGAACGACAGAACTTCATTTCAACATAACCAACAATGTAGATCAATATGAGGTAGCAATTTTTTGGATGATTAATCACCTGATTTCGCAATGCCATATTTTGATCTCACTTTTTCATGATGTTCACCTGAAACAAAGAGTGAACAACGAATTATATTTTGTACAAAATATACCGCAAACTTACGGAGCTTATCTAATTTGTTTTGTTTATAACGAAGCCATTCAATTTTAGCTTTGATTGCTTCAATTTCTAACTCTCTCCAGTTGACTTCCAAGTCCAACATGACAGTATCAATAGCATTACCTTCCGTTTGTTTTTGAATCATCAATTGTGCAATGGTGTCAGTATGCTCGGTCTTTAGTACAATTAACTTCACGATCTGCATGTTCAACATGAAATAAGAAATAAAAATTATGGTTTTGGAAATTTATATTACTTCTTCGTGGTAGTTGTCATTATCCGTACTCATTTCTTCATCTGAAGACGTCATTTGAAATCTGAAACGAAAATTATTATCTCTCTAATTCCTACTGAAATAAATTGTGAATACACGAAACACATTCAAAACAAAACACGATAATTTTTTATTCTTCATTGGATTCACAACGTCCATAGATTATCACATATCAACGAACTACAGTCATACAAACACATATAAAACACGAACATATCCATTATCGAACACGATATTGAATGTTTTTCACTATTCTATGTATAAATGTTCCATGGAACTATCCTCCTTTTTTGTAGTGTACATTTCGTTTGCCGCTATCAGTGCTGCGTAGACCTCTACTAGACATGAAACCTCGAAGTTTTTCCACCTTCAAAAACAGTAAATAAGAAAATTCTAGTAGACCTTCTGTGTAGTGATTTAAACCGTAAAAAGATTTGGCCAACCACAAATCATTGCATTCTGGGCCTGCATCTTAGCACGGTCGCACATTGACTATTCATTCAACAACCCTCTGATCCATAGTTAAACGAGAAAAAAAGATACCTGAAACTAACGAGTTATTCATAAGCTTCATCAGTGAAAGCTGAAAATAATTTTTCCTTAGTATCATATTCACCATTCTTTCAAAAATGCTTTCAATTCTCCCCACAAGTGTTTTCCATAGTATACTTTTTCATGTCAAATTTCTTGTTACATAAAATATTGCCACGGTACAAACAGAATTCTATCGATAACACACAGTGGCGGATCTACCGTACGGCGACCACCACCCCCTCGCAAAATTTTTTTCCATTTTTCATCAGCAGAAATAAAAACAAAAGCACTGGTCTTGTCTTGAATAGGCTTCAAAAACTGGTTTTTGACCATGACCGCCACCCCCTCATTGATTTTTTGGGTCCGCCACTGATAACACACAACTTAGGGATATCATCTTTTTAATCAACAAAAAGTTCAAATTCTAAAAAACCACTTTCTTTTACTGCCAGCTGCTCACCAACAAACAAATAGTCATTTGATCACTATAACAATTCTACAAACCAACACATCAACAACAAATGAAAACAAAACAGCTCAATCAAACAACCGCCCTATCAACAATTACATCTTTCTCAGTTATCCAATTTATTATCTTAAAAGAATATTAAAGTCGATACTTCTTCAGATCAACGACACCCTCATTCTATTGGTCGTGTTAATAAGAGGAAAGAAAAACTAAAGTAAAGCAAGTAAATAAAAAGAAACTCTTCTTATGGTTAAACAAGATTAACCAATTAAATTCATTGTAATAAATATCCATGATTTCGTCCTAATGAGTTTTTTTTCAAAAATTCTATTTAAAATTTTTAAAACGTATACTAATGAAAATTTTTACTAAAAAATTAAAAATTTGTTCTTCAATTATAAAAGATGTCACTATCTGCTAAATATTTCGACAATAGATGCAACGTGAAGAGGTTTACAATTTACAAGGGACTAGTCGATAGGTGTTCCATTTACGACAATATTCAATGGAATACAGTTAAAAACAATGATTCATTAAGCGAAGTAATAAGAAAAAGAATTGATCGTGCATTAAAAAATGATCTTTTTCATAGCATTGAAAACTAGTCGCACAAAAGTTTGTCCATTTTGAAAAAAAAGGATGTAACTATAAAATCAGCTGTCTTTTATAACTTGTAAAATTCTTCACACTGCATCTTGTGATATAGTTTGTTTTTAATATTAATGTATTACATGGTGGAAAAATAAAATGGAAAAAGAAACTCCGTTTAATGTTTGGGAGAGCGAAAATAGTGCAAAGATTAAGTACGAAGATTCATATGTTTCACCACTAGTTATAGCTAGAGAGTTGAAACTTTTGAAAATACAATATCTTCATTAGATTTTAATGAGATAAAAATTTCAGTGTTGTACATTAAAGTAAAGCCTAAAAAATACCATTAACAATTTATCCCCAGTTATTATGGAACATCCGTTATTATAAAATTTTTTCTATTTTACATAAAATAAATATCATATTATATATATGTCTTTTCCGAAAGGAAAAGAAGACCTTTCTTTCTTTCATTACTCTTGATTGTTTCGTTTTCGTTTCTGTTTGTCCAGTCAATAAATAAGTAATTGACCTTGACCTTACTATTATGCAATTGATAATACCATTGTTCATAAATTGTGTATTTCCTTTTCAATACATGACAATTTATTTGTTATTAGCATTTATTGAACTTTTATCAGAACCATTTTATTTATTATCTACAATAACACAATATGATTATATTCATATTTATATTGAATAAATTGCTTCAATTATAGGTTTAGTTATTTATTTATTTTTTTTCTTCTTAAATATTTGACTTTAGCTGATAAACAATAATAAGAGTCAATATTTTTAATATTCAATTCTAAATAATAATGAGCAAATCATTGTTTGTTCTTTTACATAAACAAAAAAGTATAAATTAAGTAACGAGTTGATAGTATCGTGAACTCTACCAAGTTTATTATAGTTATATTGAAAAAATTTTCATAAGATAGAATCATTTGAATTGAGAAGAATATTCTATAAATAAAAATAATGATTTTGTTATTATTAAAGTATTTCTATAAGGACATAATCGATTAGTTAATTATGCATATATATATATATATATATATCATTTGTTTTTTAAAACTTCATTTAGATTTTTCAATTTCAACAATTCTTATTCTAAAAAATGTTCAATCAGCACTTCTTTATTATAGATTTGTTTATTTAATTTATTCTATAATAATTCATTTATTTATTCAATTAATACATCCATTTGCTGATCATAGATTTCTTCATAGTATAATAAAAAATTTAAAACAAGATATTATTAATAAAATCTTAAATGATGCTCATTTATATATAATAACAATATATTCTCTTATATCATATAAAGATCAAGCTATTCTACATATCATTTATTTATTAGAACTTTTTTTTCCATCTGTACTTTTTTCAACAATTCAATAAATATCTTTTCATTATTTTCAACAATTATTTTTAATAATAAACAAAGATCAAACTATTATTCTAAACAATGAATTTACTCAAGATAATCATATTTTATCAAATGAAAGACAAGACAATCAATCATTTTATCAATTTAATCGACAACCATCAACACCAAACGGTATTTATATCAGATTTCGAAAGACTTATAAAAAAAACACCAGAGAACTTCTGATGTATATAAGCTGCTTCATATAGATTTACATTGAACAGTCATATATAATTGGTGCTGCAGAATAAATGGCGGTCTCTCAATCTACATTCGCAGTTCCGAAATAAACTTTTAACCGAAAGATTCAGTGTTAAATTCTCTACAAGACGACACCCACCCATATCCTCAAGATCGATCGCTAGGAAGTAAGACTTAGGAGCAGCAAATTGATTCGTAAGTTATCAACATAGATCAATTTATTTTTCCACTAATTCACCTAATATTACATCCAAAAAAACAAGGAAAGAAAAGAGAATGTTTCTGAATAAAAACAAATGATAAAGGAATGAGAGAGATTTAGAAATGAAAAAATAGTCTTTGCGTGTGTGAGCTTGAATAGTTATTGAAGTTTTTGATCAAATGGAAAGGCATATGTGCAACTTGACAAGGCATTGCACTTGACTATTAGATAGGACCAGTGCCAACGGTGAATGCAGTTGTGCAAGCAGCCAAGCATGCTGTTTCACCTGCAGTACAAGCTGCCACAATGGCCGGTACAGCAGGTAGCAATACTCCAGTAGCTAGAAAATGATCGAAATAGTTAGAAATAATTGATAAAGCTTCATCAGCAATGATAGTTTAATTTTACTTGCCTCCACTTCCAGTGGCAACACCCATACATGCTAAATAACCAGCATAACAAGATGCCTGGCAAACTACTGTTCCAGCAAAAAATCCTAATAAACCTCCATGGCATCCATTGATGAATAAATTAGCAATAATAAATAACGTCATGAAGAATGTTGGAGAGTTCATTGTATAATATGTTTCAAGCGAAGAGAAAAACTATTATAATCTATAAAATGGAAAGAACTTGTAATCCTTGTTAAAAAATAGTGTGGTTTTCTAGAAAACTAACATTCGTTTCAAAACGAAGTGCAGGGTAGGTGGTAGGGGCGTTACCAGAAAAAAGCTGTAGAGGGGGCTCAGCCCCCCCCCCCCCCCCCCCACTTTCCGGAGGGTGGCAAGAACACAGCGGA